GCACTCTCCTCAAAATTCTGTGAGGCCATTGACCAACCAAATAATGTGTACCAAAATGCATATATTAGTGAAAATTACATACAGAATGCATTATGGTAGGGAAAGTTGCTTACAAAATGTGTGTATATTAGTAAAGAAAAGTGTATATATTAGGAGAAATCCATGTTAAATGCTGACACATTTTCACTGGGAACAAATCACTGCAGACTGGAAAAATGAGAAAGGGAAATCGACAGATTCCTTCCTCTCTAGTTCCAGTTGCCTTTTTGGATTAGTGTGAAGCCTCCTGCTTCCGATACCAACTAGCCAGATGCCTCTTGGCAGATGTTGCCTCTGAGCTTATCCTTCCTCTGAGCACAGAGGTTTTGTTCTAGTTAGCAGCACTTGTTGGGAGTCGTCTGTGAATCTTCTGGGAAATGCAACCAAAGCAGCCTCCACCTCACAGAGACATGAAGCAGCCTGGGAGCATTAGTAGGTGTTCGTATACGTTGCTTGAGTGATAGGTTAAAGGGTCACCTGAGTTAACGGGGCGAGGAATAAATAGCTGGGATGCAGAGACAGAAAACCCCACACACTTCCGGATGGAGCCGAGCAGGAGGCCCCCTGCAAACAGCTTGACAATAAGCCAATAAGCTTGAAAAGGTTGTTTCTTTTATAAGATTCTTTCCCACCACCACCCAACGCTGAGGATGAGACTGTCTCAAGTCATTAATTAATTACCTATATTTAGGGCTACCCCCCAATTAGAGAAGTCTTCGTCATTTGGGTGAGTTTTAGGCCAGGATCCTCTATGCACTTACCTGGGGATGAGTCCCAACTGGACTTTCTTCTGAGTAGACACATGCATGATGGGGTTGTGCTGCAAGGCTATTCCAGGAACACAAAGGTTGCTAAATCAAAACTTTGGGACAGGAATTGGGGCTCACACCTGGATTTGTGTGCATTTGGGGGCCTGCAGCACTGACCACCCGTTCTCTTACTTTGCTCTAAAGGCGTAGAAGGCATCGTCCAAGCCTACTCCACCTGCCTGCCTCACATACGCTTCTATGGACCAACTAACTTCTCCCCCATCATCAACCATGTGGCTCGGTTTGCAGCCCAGGCCACCGAGCAACAATCTGCGACTGTGAGTTCAGGCACCTTTGCCATTTGTTTTTGGATAAAGTGTGTTTGGTGGGGGCACTGCTGGATCTGCAAGAGGGCAGAGGCTGCAAGGAGGAGAACTATTAGATCAGTGGTTCCCAAACTTTTCAGGCCACCACCTTCTTGGTTCCATAAACTCGTCCCCAGTGCCTCCTACCATATAGAAAGCATTTAGCGGTTTGCAGGACCCAGTATGGAAGAAAATAACACAATAAAACTCAAAACAGTAACAATTAATTGCACCTTTATTTAAAATCCAGTTAAAACTATTTCAATTAATTAACTGATGAACTTGATTGAGTGATACCAGCTTTTTGAAGTCTGAGAGTCATTTACACCTCTAGTGCGCCCTGCCACCCCCACTGTCTCCTAACACCCCCTTAGGTAATCCCACTGCCAGAGCATACCTTTACCTTTTTACCCTAGAACATAGAATTGGAAGGGACCATGAGTCATCTAGTCCAATCTCCTGCAATGCAGGAATCTTTTGCCCAACGTGGGGTTTGAACCCACAACCCTGAGATTAAGTGTCTCATGCTCTACCAACTGGTACTGCCCACTTTGGGAACCACTGCATTAGATCCTACACGTACATGATAATGCTACTGCAGAATTGAGCCCCTGGATGACGTCCAATGCACTGCTAGCTCACTCTGCTCTGAAAGCTCATGGATTGGATCACCCGCCATTAAAGACTTGCAGAAATAAATGTGTGCTTCGGAGAGAATGTTTGTGTTGCTATTTTGGTTCCACAGTTTGAGCTGCAGAACAGGAGAAGGATTAATTTTATAACTCCAGTGTGTTGGTTGAAAATACACGGGAAGAAATGTACCCCAACTGTCCTCATATACCAGGAACATTTGGTAGGGGTAGCCGATCTGGTGCTACTCTCCGGATGGTGTTGGATTCTAACCCCTATCATCCCCAGCCAGTGTGGACAATGGTCAGGATGATGGAAATTGTAGTCCAATAGCCTTGATCGTCTACCCCTTGCATCCCCTGCTGTGGTCCTGATGAAAATCGCCCTGCAAACCCTCACACCCCAGAAAAAGTTTCCATTGATATTATTTCTTAATGTAGATAGGCCCTCTTTTAGGAACTCTGATGGGGGCTTAGCACAAACTTCTCCTTCTCCTGCACTATTCGGTTGAGACGTCCTCCTGTATTAAGGCAATGTTGTCCTGCACCTTGTCTGAGGACAAGGGATCATCCTGCAGGTTTCACCAAGGACCGCTAATCAGGTGTCAGTTGTGTCTGTGCTTTGGCACTAATCATCAGGAAATTTTAATAGATAACATGGCAGAAGAGAATAGATCTTCCATGAGGAAGCCTAAGCTAGAGCCAGTCACATTCCCCAATCTAGTTTCTCCTGGTTTGGAGAGAGAGCAGGGTGCCCTTTGGATGTGAGCCATCTCCATCTTCCCCTGCCAATCCACTGAATCACCCCAACACACAACTCTTTTGGCCTTGCTGACACCAATGTTCCAGTGTCAGGCCAGGTGCCCCTCCCTCCTTGCAACTGAGCAGGACTGTCCCAGCTCCTGGCTCATCATCTCAAACTGCTCAACCCATGTCCCGATACCATGGAACGTGTCTGACTTTTCACTTTTTCGCCCTGCTTCTTCAGCAATACTTCATCCTCTTGATCATCACCGACGGCGTCATCAGTGACATGGACGAGACGCGGCATGCTGTTGTGCAAGCCTCCAAGCTGCCCATGTCCATCATCATCGTGGGAGTGGGGAATGCGGACTTCGCAGCCATGGAATTCCTGGATGGAGACAGCCGCGTGGTCCGGTCTTACACAGGAGAGGAGGCCGTGCGTGACATCGTCCAGTTTGTGCCCTTCCGGGAATTCCGTAGTGTGAGTGTGAAAGGCTTTGCCAGCCCTAAGCTCTATTATTTTTATTTATTTGTTACCTGCCCTTCACCATAAGCTGTGGACTTCTCGGGATGCTGTCTTAGGTTAACATTTGTTTCAATCCAGAAAAGCTTGTCTTCTGTTCTTAAATCACCACTGAGACATACTGCCTGTGTTAGGGTCACTAAATGGGCTTTCTGCTCAGTCAGACCAATGTTTTGGACCGCAACTCCCATATCGGCCAGGGCTGATGGGAGTTGTGGTCCAAACCATCCGAAAGGCACTGGTTTGGGAAGGCTGGCCTAACCCCACCAACTCCACTGACCACAGCTCCTTGGTGGATGCCTTCAGGATACAGAGAAGAGGCATAGCTATACATTGCTTTGATATCGTGGCAGCGGTCGAATGTGTGAAGTGGCTTCAGTGAAACTCTATCTACTTATTTATTTTATTTCATGGTGGAGAAGCTTGAACTGCACTGGCTTTCTTCTTTCAGGCACCGAAGGAAACCCTGGCCAAAGCTGTCCTGGCGGAGCTGCCACAACAAGTGGTCCAGTATTTCAAGCACCAGAACTTGCCGCCCATCAACTCAGAACCTGCCTAGGGCCCAACCTACAAACTGCTCTTTGCCTGCATGTGCCCCAAACGTGTCGATGGCAGAAGGTTGCATGTCTTATGTGGTTTCAAACAATTTGTACTTTTTGATTTAAGATGATTTAATTTAAGAGACGCAACAAAGAGCCCTGACCACCCCAAAAGTGCAACATGGGAAGCCACTGGGCCAGAGATTCCTGGGCCAAGGAAACTGTTGTCAATGCAGGACATTTTCCCTTCCCAGCCCTGAGAATCAACTTTTGAGTATTTGAATGTACTTTGTATGATTTTTTTTAATTTTTTTTGTGGAATGAGAGGAAATTTTTACGCCCAGAACTTTCCAAGCCGTGAAGTTCTTGATATCCCATTGCCCAAAGAAATGTGGACAGTTCATGGATGTGTCATACTTCTCATGCTCAATGTTCATTTTTATACTGTGTACATGTTATATTTGTTATACTCAGGTTAATAAACAACCATGGACTCTTTGCAGCTTCATGAAACCCTGGTGTGGTCGGTTTGGAGCTCTGCAACTCAGGTTTGACAGGTGAGGCAGCAATAGGGACCTGTAGCCAGTGGCCTAGAACAGGGTTGGCAAACTTGAGGACCATAACTTCTTGGCCAGTCCTTGGGTGTGGTGTGTGTGTATGCTAGTGGCAAGTGTGGCCAGTATGTGCATAGCACACATAGGCATATACATACACACACTTGTCTCCCAAACCTCCCTGCTCCCTGGAAGCAACTTCTGCTTCATCCCACACCATTCCTGGGCTTTGCTGCTTGCTTCGTCGTCCTCCACTTTCTCTCTGGCTCTACACCATTCTGCTCTCTCTTCATTTTAAATGGTATATAACAAACATGCACAATATCCGAATCTCAAATTTGCCACAGCACAAGCTTCCCATATTATATAATCCTGTGTTTAGGAAGAATCTTCACTTTCTTAACTGCTCATAGCAACAGTGAGAAAAGGTACTGGGGAAAATAAAATGTGATGGAGTCATGCTTCTTAGCCCTAGCACACAGCATTGGCAGGTAGCAGCTTTTAATTCTATTCTCCATCATTTCCTTGAACAATGGCTTAGTTGCTGACACCCTGCAGTATGCCATAAAATACATTCAATTTGCAGAAGATTAAGTACAGTCAAGCTTCCAAGTTTGCTCAAGTGCTTTTGCCAGCCTGATGTCCTGGCTTACAACTCCCATTAGCCCAAGCCAACACTGATGTCAGCTGTGGTTGAAAGCATATGGAGGGCACTAGGTAGACAAATGCTGACCTGAAGATGCCCACACACATACTGCTTGACAAGAAATTTGGGCACCTGAGATACACCTGGTCAGGAGCCTCCATTGAAGAGAAAACAGCTAAGTAAGGCATAAGAAGTGAATAGAGATGGCAAGCTCCAAGGTAAAAATAATAATGCATTGAGGAGTTCTTTAATCAGATGCAACACTAAAACGTCGTTACAGTGTCATGACAATCCACATTACCATCTGCTCGATTTTGCACTCTCCCCACAACAAAACCAGTACTTAAAAACTAGAGAGAGAGAGAGACAGCCAACTGATATGTCAGCACCTGCCAGACAGCTACACCCTAAAAACGCTTCTTTGTATAACCAACTTGGAAACAATCTATTCATTCATGGAATCTTTTTAAAAATACAAGGAATTTCCTGTCCTCATCTGTAAACCTCAGAAGCCTCAAGTCTTTTGTTGCTGTTGGTACAATGGATGCTTTTCTGGATTTTCTGGATTTTGAAGATGTGTGTCTCCCCCAATCTGTACTCCCTTCCCAAACTGAACACAAGTCTTAAGAGCGGAGAGAAGGACAGGGGATATGAAGAGAGACACGCACAAAGACTGATTCAGTACATTATTTTGGTATTCTCTGGAAAATAAGAGACAGGAGAACAGAAGTTGCGAGTCTAGGGGATGGTTGGGATGGAAACAGAGAAATGACGAGCATCCCTACCCATGCTTCTAAGGGGCTGGGGAGACGCCTACAGCGGAGCATCAAAGAAGTTGCTTCCCCGAAACACGGAGGAGACGATCTTCCCGGTGGAGTTGATGGTCCCTTCGCTGTCCGAGCTGGACTCTGAGTCGCTGCTCCCAGAGTAGGCCCCGAGGCCCGGCAGGATCCCAATGCAGACGGCAGCTGAGGGACAGTGGAGGGCAGAGCCGCTCACGGAGCCGCTGCTCAGAGGAACACAGGGCGGCTTTTCTGGAAGAGAGCCATGGGGGGGGGGGGGAGGTTGGGAGAGGAAGATTGGAAAATAAAGCTGCCAAGACAAATCTATGGAGCGGCCACATTTGGAATACTGTGTATGGTTCTGGTTGCCTCACCTCAAAAGGTTCAGAAAAGGGCAACCAAAACGACCACAGGGATGTAGAGATTCCACTATGGGGAAAGGCTTTTGGAACTTCTTAGTTTAGAGGAAAGGTGAGCGAGAGGCGGCATGACAGAAGTTTATAAAGTTATGCATGGCATGGAAAGTGTGGCCAGAGGAAAGGTTTTCAGGACAGATTTTAAAAAGCACTTATTCACAGTGTATAGTTAAATTATGGCACTCACTTTCACAAGAGGCTGTGATGGTTACCAACATGGATGGCTTTAAAAGAGCATTAGACAAATTTAGGGAAGAGAGGGGTATTGATGGCTACTAGCCGTGAACAGCTGTGCTCTGCTGCCATGGTTGAAGGCAGCAACTAATCTCAGCATTGTGGATTCAAGATTCCTGCATTGCAGGGGGTTGGACTAGATGATCCTTGTGGCCCCTTCCTACTCTGCAGTTCTGTGCTTCTGTTGCAGAGGGCTCTTGTGCTTGAATCCTGCTTGGTGGTTTCCTACAGGCATCTGGTTGGCCACTATGAGAACAGGATCCTGGACCATAAACTGGTTTCTCACTGAATGCCTCCAATGGCCCAAGGGGGGGGGGGCGGCAAGTGAGAGAGAGATAGAATTCCACCCCCACCCCCCAAAGTTCATGACATCCTCCTTGTCATGTTGCCCCACTTGTTTAATTCTGATTCAGAAGTGCCACTACAGTTTCACTAAGCCTGGGACCCCATGACAGCTAGCTACCAGAGGGGCAGGTGGGGTGAAATACCCTAGCTGTTAGTTTCTGTGTTATATTTGCTCTTTCACACAATGTAACAGCCACTTCTGGAAATCAAGTGGAAGGTAGTCCTCATTTCTATGTTACCTGCAAACAGATTTTTACAGAAGAAATTACATGGAAATGAGCACCCATTTTATACTGTATTCTGCTGGATTTCTGAAAGTGCCTTTTACATATTGTGAAAGCTCAAACAGAAACTAACAAGGAAGCAGAATAAACCACCATGTGGATACAGCCTTGGTGAGCAAAGCTGATGCTGCTGGCCTTTCAGCTACAGATCTGCTTCAGTACTTCCTTTCAGTTACCTTCAAACATTACAGAACAGACCAAGGACCCCCATCAGAACAGAAAAGCCCTGCTGGTCAAACCAAAGCCCATGTTAATCCAGCATCCTGTTCCCATAGCTACTACCCAGCTGTGGATGGGAAGCTAGCAAGCGGGACAGTGGTGCAGTTTCATTACCCTGCTTGTATTCCCCCACAACTGGGGTTCAGAGGGAAGTGAGTGTCCCAGATACTGCAGATGATTCCCAGCCATCATGACCAGCAGCCACTGAGAGCCTTATCCTCCATGAATTTGTCATAGCCCCATGAAGAGATATGCCCCTTAACCCAAGCCCTCACAACATGGGGCTGAGCTTTAATTTACATACATATATCTCCCACCCAACCCTCTTTTAAACAGATCTTTGCTTTTCTCCTCCTTGAAGGAATCCAGAAGCCTTTTTTGGTGGGGAGGGGATTGGTGCTACATCTGCTACCCATGAGGTGTCCAGACACAATCCACTTGCAAACCTGAAACTGTCAGGCTAAGACCATTGCTCTAGGACAGAGGTCACTGAATTATCAGCTCATGACATCACCATTGTTTTGAGAAGACAAGTGTTATGTACTCCACAGTCAGAGGCAGCAATGCTTCCAAATACCAGCTACTAGGAATTTATGCAGGGGAGAGGGCACTTGTGCTCATGTCCTGCTTGTGGGTTTCCAACAAGCATCTGGTTGCTCACTGTGAGAATGGGATGCTGAACGGGATGGGCCACTGGCCTGATCCAGCAGGCTCGTCTTAGGTTCACTGCAATATCAGGAGTCACTTTTCCCCAGGAAAGCCGCCTCATGGGTTTTGCCCAATATTCTGCAACAGAATGCACCCCTCCTTCACTCCACTCCCCCCCCCCAGTTGACTGATCAGCTGTTCATGAAGGCAACATGACCAATGCACAGCAGGCGATACGAGGCCTAGTGTAACCCACCATGCAAACACACCTACCTGGAGTCTTGTCATGGTCAGGATCCGGATCGAGTTTCAGTCTTTTCACGCTGTTGGCACCTTCTGAACTGAAAGGAAACAATGCAAAGTCAAAAAAGAGGATCGGAACCACCGGGGGGGGGGGTACTGCAAGTTGTTCTGTAGGTCACTGAGTTGCCATGGCAAAAAAGCACTAATACTGTATTTACTTGAGTCTAATGCGCTATTGAATCTAATGCACACCGCAATTTTCAAAACCTTGAAACCAAACAAAGTATTTGCTGGCAAATGTAAATGTGCCATCAAATCTAATGCACACCTTAATTTTCGCAATGTAATTTGGCCAAAAAAGGTGAGCATTAGATTTGAGTAAATACAGTAAATTTAAAAAATAACAATGGGCTTTACACCTCCTATTCAGATGGGAAAGCTCCTATATTTCTGCCTGAGAGATTTCAAACCCCAGAATCTACCCCACTTCACACCCCACATTGCGATGGTCAATTTTAAGCCTCAAAAGGTTAGCTTGTTTACTTTCCATCAACAATGAACCTTCATTCATCTGGGAACTTACCTCCGATGTTTCACAGCTCCAGCCAACAGCTTTGCCTGTGAGAACTTGCTTTTGTTTTCTGCTGATTTCGCTGGCAGTTTCTTGTCTGTCTCCTTCTTCAGGTCGGCACTGACCCCCACCTTTGACAAAGTGCTGTGGACTCAAAGGTTAAGGACCAAGTGGAACCTGAGGACTGATGGGTGTGCAGGAAATCCAGAGCAGCCAAACATGCCCTTAGATCAGCGCCTGTAGTCCCAGTCCTGCCAGGCTGCAGGGGTACCAGTAACCCCAATACCTTAGAAGAGGCAATGCGTGTGCCTCCTTGAAACCTGCACAGGGGGAGATGGAAACCAATCTTTGTGGATTTGTTTTCCATCAGGAACACCAGCGAATTTGAGTAATTATTTACTCAAATAAAATCAGTTACCAAATAAATTAAGCACCAATGGATTTTATAGTAATTGGCATCATTCAGCTACCCAGATAAAAATCTAACCACCCCCGTCACATTCCTGAAGCACCTTCCCCAAATTTACTTAGGGCCACACTAGATGTGACATCCAATATGTAGGCTTCCATCCAATTTGAGTCCTACTCAGAGTAGACCCACTGAAGTTAATGGACTTTAAGAACTTGCACTTCCCAGTTTCAATGTTTACTCTGAGTAGAACTTTGTTGGATGCAACTTTCCATTTAAAATGCATGCTTTTTTAAAGTGCAGATAATACTCTCCCTCCAAACAAGCTAATGCTGTCTGTATTTTTAAAAATATGTATATTACTGGCTTTGTTTTTTTGAGATGCTCAACAGTACTGCTAAAGGAAGCTCTCTGGTACCATCTGGTGGAGAGCCTCAAATACCAAACATGCCTCTTGAAATAATGGGTGGGTGGGTGGGTGAGCGTTAACACTCACACAAACCCCACCATATTCCAACAGGGCTTGGGGTGAAATTCACACCATTCAAGCACAGAATGAGTCACTCTGACCAACTTTACCCATTAAGGAACTCAGTAAAAGTTACAAACGGGTAGTTCATACACAATATGAAAGGTTCAATTTCTAGCATCTGAGGGGGGCTGGGGAAGGATCAGCACCTGAGGCCTTGGAAAGCCCCTGTCTGCCAGTGTGGAGAATACCAAGCTAGGTGGGTCACTGGCTTCACTCTGTATAAGGCAGCACAGTCAACATTTGAGTTTCTGAGATGGTTTCCAGGTCAAGACCAGAGAAGTTCAGTGAAGAAACTGATGAGTTCAAATGTGGAGGGGGGGGGTGCTGGGAAAGATATGGAAGAAAGGGGTGGTATGAGGGAAGGCTCTGAAGTAGAGCCTGCGAAAAGTACTGTGGACAGGGCAACACATAGATCAGCAAGGCCTAGAGCCTCCCAGGGTATCAGCCCAAGCCAGAACAGCCAGTGGCAAGGGATGATGGGAGTTGTAGTCCCTAGAACCTGGAGGCTGCCCACTCGATATCCACACTTAGAAGAATCAGCCAAGCTACCAGAGCCACAAGAGCTTCAAGCCCAGATGAAAATTTCAGTTCCAAAAGTCTACAAATCTGGTCACCAGCAATGCTTGCCCATTCCCAGGATGCCAAGCACAAAGAGATTCCTTTCTGATCTGTGAACAAACTCACAAAAGGGATGTGGAGGGGTTAGGTGACCCCAAGTAATGGCAGGCCACCAAAACAAATGTGCTAGTCACCAACCTGTTGCCACATCTTCAAAAGCCCTTCTCCTGTTTCCACTCACAGCCAGATATAATTATTGAAGTATAACACATCCCGAATAACAAACCCACCAGCTCTGTTCTCAAATTCATCCATAGCAAAGCAAGAATACAGCTCTAGTAAAAAATGAAATGGGCTGTGGAAATCAAGCTCCAGCTCTTCAGATCACCACGACATCCCAAACCGCACCTGAGTGCTAAACAAGCCACCTGCCCCTTCTTACTTCCGACTTTACAATAGGAAGTGCTTCAATGCAAAGGATATTCTGTACTCATTCAGCTCCTTGAGATCCTCTTCTCGCCGCTGCTTCTCTATTAGCGCTTGCTGCCGAGAAACCTCATCGAGGAACTTGGTCTCCTCTTCGTCTAGACCTCTGACCATGTTTTCTGAAAGAAGAGGAGACAGGAGAACAGACTTGGATAAGCCATTTAGCTGCAAAGCCAGCACCATCTTGCCCTTCCTCTGCAGCACATTTCTATTCTGATCCACATGACACTGCAGTGCTTTAACAGGAGGTCTTTCTGCCCCAAACTCTGGAGCTGGGAACACGTGATCTCTTCTAGCCTCTAGAGACAAGTGGACAGGTAGGCAGCCATGCTAGCAATGGCTCAGCTATGTTATGGATCCAGGACATCCCCTCTTCTGCCAGTACTTTGGCAGACAGGCTCCTGTTCCTTCTTGTCCCCAGAAGTTGTCATGTTCTCAGAATTCTTCAAGGAGCTCAGAGATATAGGGGCCTGCTTTGCTCAGGACAGGATTTTCACAAAAGGTACTGAAGCCGTTCAATGCGGCTCCCCTGTGTCAGGATTCACAAAGATGCTTACTGGAACTTACTGAACTTGAACTGCTCTTCAAACTCCTGCTGCTTCTTGTCCTTCTGCTCCTGGAGCCTTTCGTAGAGCGAGCGGGGGTCGTACACCTCCTCGGGGCATTCTGGGAGATGGAGAAGAAAGAAGTTGTACAGGTGGCCACTTTGAAAGGTACGTGAGATAAAACTTGCTCCCAGTACAGTCTCTGGCAGCCTTGCCAATAATCTCAGAGACATTCCAGGTCTACTTGCCTTGCTGCTACCCGCTAGCCACTTTTGGACTAAAAGGAAATGAGAAGCAACTTCTGTGAAGATCCCTTTATTTGTCAGCTGAAAGGGATCCTGACTACAGGCAATAGGCAAGTGGTTCTTTACAAGCCAGGTTTATCAGACTTCGCTGATAGTTTCATTGACAGTTTATTTGTTTGACTCTCATGGTAAGCCATGCTCAAAGTGGCTCCAACTTCAGAAAAGTTTATACAATAAAATACAGCAAGGTAACTCACAAACAATTACAAGACATAACAAATAAGGGTAAGGAAAACATTGTATAAATATGCATGCAGATTAAACAACTCATTTATAGCAAGGCCAACAATATAAAAGCAAAAGCTTAACCCAAATGGGAGTAACATTAATGTATCTTCTCCAAATCAAAATGTTGCCCCAACAACAAACACTCAACAAGAACTCGCCCTGATGAACTTTTCCTGAATCACAGGGGGAGCAAAATGCAGCCAATTCTCCATCCCTTATGCTCTGCTGTTTTCAAGAGATTGCTTTGCGCAAGGCTGCCCCTCTCAGCATATCCAACCGATTTTGCCTCCTTATTAGCACAGAAGCCTAGGAAGCTATCAGACCATTGGCCCATCAGCTCAGTATTGTCAACGCTGACTGGCTGCTGCTTTCCAGGATTTCAAGAAGGGGCTGTTGTGAGTCCTATGTGGAAATGCCTCTAGAAGTTGAACCAGGGACCTTCTGCTTGTGAAACAGATGCTCTAACCACAGAACCTCCAAAACATTGCTCCCTAACACCCCAGCAAGCTGCTGCAGCAACGTGGCTGCAAAGCTGAACAGCAGAGCAAAAACCCTGGATTCAAATCTCACATCTGCTATGAACTCACTTGGTGGCTTTAGGCCATGGAAGCTGAAACAAAAAGCAGCCAAGAAGGGGCATATACTGGAGGTGGGACCCACCACCACCTAAACCCACCACCAACTAACACCACTCCCCCTTCCTTCCCTGTAATCTCAGTGAAGGTCCACCTCATATTGCTACAACCCTTTTCCTCAAATTAAATCGCAGTGTTCAAGATTGCCATTGGAACGAGGGAGTGGGAAAGTTAACCCAACCACCCCTCCCTGATACTACCCATCTGATTGGTGGAGAAGAGAGGGGCAGCCGTGCTACTTCCACCACTCCCCATTGTTCTGATGCTCCTGCCAATCAGGAATGCAACAGATCTCTTCAGCCAAAGGCGGAGAGGAGGAACTTGGAGAAGGCGTCAGGCTAGATGGAAAGGCAACCTATGGCTCCCCATCCCTGCTTCAGGCAAATGGCTCTTAACCAGTTTCAATGTCCTGTTCCCCCACCCCTGCTACATTACTAAAATGGTGCTGACCTGCTTCACAGAGTTGTTCCTTTAATATTTACATAAAATATTACATGCTTCAAAAATTGCAACACGTTCCTCATATTATCATTACAACTGAGCAAATGAGTGTTTGAATCATGCCTAAACAGTCTTTAGTCCCACTAAGGCCTTAAAAGAGCTTACAATTTGTTTTTGTATACAGTGGTACCTTGGTTCTCAAACTTAATCCGTTCCAGAAGTCCATTCCAAAACCAAAGCGTTCTAAAACCAAGGCACACTTTCCCATAGAAAGTAATGCAAAATGCATTAATCCGTTCCAGACTTTTAAAAACAACCCCTAAAACAGCAATTTAACATGAATTTTCCTATCTGACGAAACCACTGATCCATAAAATGAAAGCAATAAACAATGTGCTGCCGTCACACAATCAATCAATTGGTAGCTGAACTGGGTTTCACACAGTCACAAAAAACATACAAAAAAGCCACAAAAACAAAAATGCAAAATAGCAAAAACAGACAGACTTCAGCGTAACACTCAAAGCGGAAGTGTGGCACTCAAAACAAAGCATGTTTGGCTTCCAAAAAAAAGTTTGCAAACCAGAAGACTTACTTCCAGGTTTGCAGTCTTTGGGTTCCAAGTTGTTTGAGTACCAAGGCGTTTGAGAACCAAGGTACCACTGTACTACGGATTGTTGGAAAAGGTTTGTCTCCCAGAACCCTAGGATGTTCTGGCCCCATTTCACTAGAGGTAAAATATCCCACGACAACAGATAAGCTACCTGTGGCTAGATAGGAAAAGGTGAAGATGGATAACTTCCAACCTCCAACAATCTCTCATGTGGAGGAGTTTCAGGCAGAGCAGGCTTTGAGGGATTGATTGGTATTGTAACGGTAGTCTGAGCTCTCCTGCTACCTCTCTATTCAGCAATTCCCCAATCAACAGTCAAATACCTTCCGGGTCTTCGGGTTTCCGAACCTTCTCCCATTCTTCCTGCCTTCGCTTGCGCCGCTCTTCTATCTCCGCTTCAGACACAAACCTTTTGTTAATCACGAGGTCGGCACTACCTTCTCCTCCATCCATTGTGGAGCAGCCTGTGCAGAGAAGAGAGTTAGGAGCAGGACAGTCTCTATTCCCTACGTATAGAGACACACTGAACTCTCTGGCATAGAACTGGCCATGGAGTGCACTGCCATGCAAATAATCCTTAACCCAATCCATGCATATAGGAAACCAGTTTTTCAGGTAGAAGGCTAGGCCAGACCCCCATCTCCTTGACACACAGTTTTCTAGAGGGAGGTACATTTCAGATAGAAGTATTCAGTACAGTAAATTCCCACCCTGCAATGGCACCGTCCAAATACACTGTGTGTAGACCATGCTCAGTGAGAAATAAATTAAGAGTCAGAAGCATGCCTACAATTTCCCCCTCCTACATCTACTATGCTGTACCACTGCTAATTCCCCCTGCCTCAGAAGACCAGAGACCCCTCGAGGAAGCGGGAACCTCTCCAAGGCGCAGCGCGCCGTCGGTGGAGGAAAAGAGCCGCGCAGCAGCAGCAGCAGCAGCAGCAAAGCCGGGAGGAGGAGGAGGTGGAGCGAGCCTGCTAATTGCTTGCTGGGAATTACCGTAATTTTCGCTCCAAAACACACACTTTTTTGCTCCTAGAAAGGAAGGGAAAATGCCTGTGCGTGTTACAGAGCGAATGCACTCATGCTTGCTTTACAGCCAGGAGGAGGGGGTGGAGCTGAGGAGGAGGGAGGGAAGGAGAGCCATGCCAGCAAAGCGGGCAGCAGCCGCTTACACGCGAGGAGGGACAGACGGGAGCCATAGCGAGCCGGAAAAAGCGCTGCGTAGCCAGCAACAGCTGCTGCAGCCTCAGCTAGCAAAGGTCCGTGCGCTCTCTAAACGGAGCGATGAGGCTGCAGAGGGACGGCAGGGCACAGGAGGGCTCTGAGCCACAAGCGCAGTGAAAACCAGTAAAAAAGTTTTTTAAAAGGCTGCTGGGGACAGGAGGGCACGGGATGAGGGAGAGGGGGAAATTACAATTCTCCCAGCGTCTCAGCTGATCCGCTGAGCAGGACTTGGGTTGCAGGGGATTCACCATTAGCTGTGTAAAGCAGCAAAGAGGGAGAGAAGGAGCAAAGCGGGAGTGGAAAGGAGCTGCTTACACTGCTGTAAGTGGCTGCTGTCCGGTTGGCTCCTTTAAAGCAACAGTGCTCTTTCCCTCCCCCCTCCCCGCTCAGCTCTCCGAAAAGCTCCTTCTCCACCCACCCCATGCGAGCTCCTTTTCCCCTTAGACCCCCCTCCTGCATTATTAGCCACATCCTTCTCCACCCACCCCACACGTGTTCCTTGTCCCCTTAGCAGTGGCGTAGCGTGGGGGGTGCAGGGGGGGCGGCTGTACTGGGCGCAACATCTGGGGGTTAGGGTTAGGGGGCGCAAATCCACGGGTTAGGGGGCGCAAATTACTTGCCTTGCCCCGGGTGGACAACCCACCGCCTACGCAGCCAGACAAGCACAATGAACTACGGGAAGGCACGAAGGAGGCAGTATATGCCCTATAGCAAGCACTAAAGTGGTACTGTCTCCTACTTGGACTTGACATGTGGAGCATTTGCCACAAATGGATTGTGGAAGAAGTGACCCCACAGTGCTGCTAAGTTTCCAGACATCTGCTGCCTTCAATAGATATGGAAGTTTAGTGGAGGACCTGATACATTCCCTCTCTGTTCTATGGACTGAAATGCTAAATTCAGTCTCCCACTTTCCCCATTAATCAGAAACAGGAGTTCCTTCTTAACAGAAAAGTCAGGACTATCACCTGTAAACTTCCACCATTTGCTGTTCACAGCAACAAAACAGGACGACATGTTTGTCAAAAACAGACATCATTTACTCTTACAGGGTCTACATAGTAGCCATCTCCATGCCATGTTTTTCTTCATACATATTATATGAATTGCATTAAAAAGCCTTGCAATACGAGACTAAAGTCATATCCAGCCCAGCATCCCATTGTCCACAATGGCCAACACGATGATGACTCTGGAAAGTCAATAAGCAGGATATTGAAACAAAAGCTACCTCCTGCCATTGCTCCCAGTAACTGTTGAGAGACACACCGTCACAAATCTTGGCAGCAGTATACAGTGGTACCTAGGGCCTCCTGATGCCACCACGCTGCCGGAGCACAATTTCTGTTCTCATCCTGAAGCAAAGTTCCTAACCCGAGGTAATATTTCTGGGTTAGAGGTGTCTGAAGCATATGTAACCCGAGGTACCACTGTATAGTCATCATGACTTGTCGTTATTGACAAACCTTCTTTTCTACTGAATTGTCTAATCCCCCTTTTAAAAAAGTGGCCATCACCTCCTCTCACTTCCATGTGTAGCAATAGAATTTTATTCTCCATTATGCGAAAATGGAAGCTGAGCTAAATTACACATATATTGAACAAAACAGCACTTCTTACATCATTTATTTTTCAGTGCCTAATTTATTTTGTCTTACATAGACCTTGGAGTTTCAGCAATGGATCTGCAGGTGTTGCACACAGGATAAAACAGCTTTGTAATGTAAAGAAGCTGAGCCAGCATGCAGTTTTTAATGCCAGGATGCAGCTGCTCTGAGCAAGCAGGTGACTCCAATCATGAATTAAGTCAACCAGTGCTTGCACCTGAGAAAAGGCTGGCCTACTGGCTCCTTACAGATCCCTTTAGCTAGAATACCTCTCATCAATGTGAATTATTTCACTCAAATTCCTTCACACTTAAAAAGGTCCCCCTGGTTAGAAAAAAAGACTGCAATGAGTGCAATTACTTGCCCCCTTACTGTTCACAACCTGAGGAAGGTACAGATGTCACAGCGGTTCCCTCTTAAACAACAAGGTGCCTTACATATGTAACACTCCTTGCTTGAAAGCTTTAAAAACCTTTTTATATCAATCTGCTTTTAACTGTAATTAGAAGCTGGATTTTAAACTACTCCCCATCTGAAACAGTAATACGACTTTTTACGGGAGTGAGTGCAAAAGGCTTTTAAGTTAAATCCTGTTTTTAAGTTGAAAATAACTGCAGATGTTGCTTCTTAAATGCATATCCCATTAACTAGAGGCCACCTTGAGAAAACCTATTTTTAAAGAAATTTTATATATTGCTTTAAATAATTTTTCTAAGTAGTAGCATTAATAAACAATGGCATTGCTATCAACAGCATTTCATCGGTATTTTATAAGTAATATTCATCCTCACTGTGTGGGTCCAGACGTTCGATTTTAAGAAAACTGTAAGGACGAGGGTCCATCCATAAGTTGCTTTTAAATTGTGTTTTAACGCTGTAACCCGCCTTGTGGCCTAAGGGTGAGTGGCGGGCAATAAATAAATAACAGCACTACTACTATTACTACTAGTAGGATAGAATATCTTGTTAATAACTTATTTTAATTATCATTCATTATTAATAAATGATTTCGCTATTCCAGTTACCATCCCCGCACTCCCCCCAGTCTCAACGGCCTCCTAGAGCCGGAGGGCGGCCCGCGACACCCACCTCTCCGCCATGGACCCCTCCAGCGGGGCCTTCCTTCCTCTTCCTCCCGAGCCCACCTTTGTGGACAGAGTCCCGGCCGCACCAATGACAGCCCCACCCCCTTTACCCCCACGGTCTCCCCGCCTCTTCCGCCTCCGAGTCACCCAATCGAACGCCGCGTTCCTTTTCCTCACCCATCGATCCAGCCAACCGACGCCTCCGTCGCAAACAAACCAGCGAGTCCTGAAAGCGGCGTCTGCGACTGGGTTGGTTAAAAAAATAATAGGGATGGGAAGGGACAGGCGGGCGCTTAGGATTGGCCAGCCTCCCTTCCGAGCGGCGAGGCGGAGCTTCGCTTCTAGCAATTTGAGAATGGGCCGCGTGAGTGGAAAGCGACGAAGAGGAGGGGGCGTGGCTAGTTGCCTTGGGGATACGGAGCGAGGAGCGGCGGCGGCCTGGCGGGGAGGTGGGCGGAGCCGCGGCGCGCTCGCTCTCGGAACGGGGAGGGTCCGCGGAGGCCTCTTGCTCCGCCGCCGCCGCCGCCTTTCCTTCCCGCCGCTGGCTGAGGAGAAATAGGCGCGCGGTGGCACAAAGAGGCCGCCCCCCCCACTGCCCGCCGCCAGCACGGCGCTTCTTCTCTGGCCTTGACGGGCTGAATGGAAGGCGGCAGCCAGCGTGGAGCGGCTGAGGTGAGTTGAGAGGAGGGGCGCCTGGCGGGGAAGGAGAGGGAGGGGAGGGGGCCGGGGGAGGAAGTGGAGGGGCGGGGGGAGGGCAGGGCCTGATCCTGATCTTGAAGTAGGAGCGAAGAAAGGGCCCTGCGGGTGGATGGGCGAGTGGGGAGAAGCCCAGCGCACAAGGGGATGATAATTTCTCTTAAATTGTTTTTTTTAATAGTGTCTTAACGCTGTAACCCGCCCCAAGCTTTAATTCATTAATTGTGACAATGATGAAAGTCCTGGCAGTGGGGCTGAGGGTGGGAAGGAGCCTGCATGTGTACAATGCCTTTGTGCGTGTGTGATCTATTTAATCTCTCTCTCTATGATAACAAATGTGCATAACTGATCCACACATATGTACGTATGCATATACATAAATACACAGGTGATAGTGACACAAGTGTGTGTATACGTATCATACATATGCATGGTCTTACATCATTTTAGTATCTAATGCATGGCTTACGTTATGGGTGGCTAGCCCTCAGATTGGGGGCCTGATCTGCTCTCCCCACCACCACCACACTCTCCCTTCCCTCCCTACAAGATTTTGCTAATTTGGGTGGTGACAGCAAAAAGAAAACTGGAACTAAAGTAGATGCAGCACTAAAGTGGGTTGAGCCTGGTGTGCCTGCAAATCCTCAGAGTTTTCCTCAGATGTCAGATTGATGGGTGTAGAAATGGACAGTTGGTATGGATTACCTGAGGTGTGGCTGTGTGTGTGAGAGTGCACACACTTACAAGAGTGTGGGGTGGCCACACCCACCACTGCCATGCAGCCCTCAGAGGGTTGGCCGAGGGTGAATGTGGCCCTCAGGCCAAGAAAGTTGAGCCACATCTGACTTGAGCCACATCTGACTTTCATGATAACACACATGCATGCAATTAATACACAGTATTATTGTTATTGCTTACATTAGGATAACAGCTTTCTGAAGGGTAGTGGTGTTGGACTGTTGCAGAAACAAAAGAGCCTTGTGGTACCTTTAAAGACTAACCAATAGTGTTGCTGCAGCACAGTGCTACCCTCTAAGGTGTCGTTTGCAATGATAACGGTAATCATAATTATGTCATTAATAACAGTGACGAAAGCTACTGTTTTAAGTGCAGCTCTTCAGGGCACTTTGCATTCATTTCTCTCAGTAGGCAGGTGGCATTTGACAGCTCAGAGTCCTCCAGGATAGCAGCCCAGAAGGTTAGAAATGCTGGCATTGACACAACTGTTATTTAACAGCATCCAGATAAATGTTTTGAGGGAGGGTGAGTTCCCTTTCAAAGAATACATTGAAATTTGAAATTTGGTCTTTGGGGGGCGGGGTATAATACTCCCTTCTGTTAAATATGGCTTTCTAAGTGTATACAAATTCATACTCTTTCCCCTAGCACATTTACCTGGGTTCTGCTTCATAGTAGCAGTGTCAATACTAGCATTTCTTGCCTTTGGGTTGCTGTGGTAGAGGATTGTGAACTGCCCAGTTTCCTCCTTGTGAAGGACTGCCTACTTTGGTTTGCTAAGAAAAAATTATGTGAAGTGGTTTGAATGCTCTAAAGCACTATAGTTAAAGTAGCAGCAGTTATCATTTGTAATGATGTAGCCATGGACATTGGTGCTGCTTATCTAGGCAATGATAATGGTCTTTGTCCTTTTTGTGCCTGAGGTTTAAGAAACGGGAATCTTTGAATGTGTAGTATCTGCCATGGGAGGGTGTGAAGCAATGTCTTCCAGCATGATGTAGCTGTGGCTTACCCTTCGCTAGTTCAGCACACCTGCTTACTCCTTGCTTGCATGTGGAAGAAGCAAACCACGAACCCAGGCTGCATGGTTTGTTTCACTCCCAGCAAATCGCCATCTGTAGCCAAGGTTTGTTCTTGGCTTGCTTGGTATGTTTTGTTGGAGCAAAGTAAATCACAGTGATCACTGTTTTTTTATGTAATACTAAACCAGGGATCATGGTATAGTTCCTCTGCATGCTGGTAGGAAGAAGATAAACAACATTCCACTTGTACCTGCTCTTTATTATGGTGGGTGAGCTGGGCCAAGCTTAAATCTGTGGTGATTGCAATTTTCTTCTCAGTTTCTTCCTCCAGTATGAAACAATACTAAGCTCACTTTCACCACTCTTCTGTCCTAGTGATAGGTGCAGCTAAATGAGTGAGGCTGTTTGTTGCTCCTTAAGGAATAACTAATCCGGCCACTTTTCTGTTGCCAAACATAATAGTGTTTTGAGTACGGAGGGGAAAATAGCTTGACTTTTACTAGCCCTTAACCCTCTTTGCTAATATCGATTTGTTTTGTTTGTTCACTTGCTGAGCTGTATTTTAAAAGTTTTAATTGTGGTTATAAATTTGCTGCATTCTTTTGGAAGTGTTTTAAAATAGAGGGTTTTGTTTGTAATCATGTTGAATGGTGACTTAAAATTTGAATGAATGAATACATGGATTGGTAACATAGTGTGTAACAAGTATGGGGAGTATGTGGTCCTCCAACCATTCACTTTGCTGGCTAGAGCTGATGGGTATTGGCAGCCACCATAATCTGGAGGGCCACAGGTTCTCTATCCCTGCTATATAATCTTGAATACGTCTTGTCTAGAAAATGAGATTTCCTTAGAGTTTAAAATAGTAGGTTGGAGACCTGGGGATGTACTGGCGATGAGTCAGAGATTCCTGGGGACTAGGGCAAACTTGAAATGAAATGAGGAATGGCATATGAGAGAGCCTGAGGACAGGAATCTTCCTGTGGAGATAAGATGGTACTGGTAAGCTATGTGGAGGTTGTCTGCTAAAATAGGGATGAGGGAGGTCGACAGGCACTTCAGGTTGGAGTGAGTGTTCTGCTGTGTAATGAGCCAGGCAGTTTCTAGGGGAGACTAGCAGCTGATTTCCTCTCGCTTTTAAGATTAGTAATTCCCAAATTGTATGTGTTCTTTCATAATTATAGAAACCTTTTTGAGAGCCCAGAGTGCCCGCCCACAGAAGGCAGTCTGCATGATCCATTGAAGGGAGGCCTCTGGCTTTCCTTTTTCCACCTTCTATGGAGGTGGGTAATTCTGCCTTGTCTTTGTTTGGATCATTCAGCCACTTCTGACGCTGCAGAATTATCTACCTCCAAGGATTGCAGGAAGAGGTTGCCTGTTGCATCCCTCCACCAGTCAGTGCTCTGGGTTTGCCGCCTGACAAAAAGCAAGCCCAGAGGCACAATTCTTGCAGGAATATGCTGGGCTACAGGTAGCATAATTCTTACTCTTGCACGCTCTAAACCTTTTGAAGTTTGACGATGAAGTGTGTTTCTTCATTTTAAACTCAGTAAAAAAATGTACTTCTATCATCAAGAGTTTAGAAATTCATACTTTAGATGAGCAAGGCGATTTCTGAGGGAGATTAGTGGCTGGCTGCCTAGATGGTATGGGCAGAACTGTGTTTTATGAGACACATTTTATGAGACAGAAGGCATGCTGCTCAGAGTTTTGAATGGTGCCTCACTCTGCACATGATGCTAAGCTTCATCCTAAACCATGGCTTCACATCAATGCATGGGTTCCCAGGGTGCTCCGCCTCTAGTGCTACTGTGAGCTAAGCCATGTTTTGGCTTGACAAGTCATCTGAACTGGGATGGTGGTTTGTCTTATTCAAAACAAAATAGCTGAGTGAGATTTGTTCTTAGTTTGTCTGGAGCCTGCCTTCTGCCCCTCACGTTGGGTGTCCTGTTCCTTGTAGGCAGGAACCCTCTCATTCAAGTGTGATGTGTGAACAGACACTGCATCCTTCCTCATGGATTCTTCAACTATTCACATCCTTGCTCCAAACACACTTTTCACCTATAGTGATATATCATGGGAAAACATCATCTTTGTTAATTAGTCTGAGGGATGCTCTCTGCTAATGGTTATGAATAAAGTGGGGTGGGGTTGGTAGTACAGTGGGGAGGGTCCAGGATATAGGCCCAAATGAGCAATATTTGTATAAATAAGGTTTCCAGTCTGTATGCTCTTGAGTCACAGGAACAACTTTTTAGTCATGCCTGCTAGTTTGTGTGACTAAATCCAACACACAGTTTGGTTTGGTTATTTGACCAAGAATTTTTGTACAGTACTGTGGGGCAGAAGCGTTAAGGCTTCCCCTGCCATTGCTTGAATAAATAAGAACTTAACAATTGCTCAGACAGAAGCATTTTTGCCATAGGGACTGAGTGGTCCATTGGCCTGGGCATAATTGATCAGTTCAGTATGCAAATAGATTCATAACCCATGACACTCACACTGTGTAGTTGGTTTTGTAGCCTGTGGAGCTACTACACCTTAAATGACTAGGGGGAAGGGTAGGAAATCCATCTTCCTGCCCCAACCAGGATTAGCATTGAACAAAGCTGTAGTGGTGAAGCTTGGCCTAATTGGCTGCTGCCTGTAGCTCGTGAGTCTAGCCTTTGTCTAAGTCAGTGTTTCCCAACCGGTGTTCCGCGGCACACTAGTGTGCCGCGGAACGTTGCCTTGTGTTCCGTGGGAGGGAGGCGGGCGAGTCGGGCGGCGAGAGGCGGGGCAGCGGCGGCGAGCACACGCGGGGCGGCGAGCGAGCTCCCTCCCACATCCCATCGCCGCTCGCTTCGGCCGGCCTACTGGAGGAAGGCACGAAAACCTCATGCATGCGCAGGCCTTCCGCCTGCGACAGCCCAGTAGGCCGGCCGAAGCGAGTGGCGATGGGATGTGGCGGGGAATAATAATAATAATAATAATAACAACAACAACAACAACAACAACAACAACAACAACAACAACAACAATAATAATAAAAAAATTGACAGGTGGTGTTTTTCTAGGTGAGGGGGTGGGGACTGTAATAACAAAAAAATCAGCTGTATATCAACCGCTGTTTTGCAATGAGGAATTGCAAATAAGGAAGATCAAAAGGAGAATGTTTTTTTTGGGGGGACTCTCTTCCTCTTCCTCCTCCTCCTCTCGTTCTTGCTCCTCTTCCTG